TATCTATTTATAAATTTACGCCAGTCTTTGTGATTGATGATATATGTATGTATCTTTTTTTAACTTTGAACATGTTTAACAGCTTACAGATCTCTCATTAATTAAATAAAATATTTGACACATTTTATATTTCTATGGACATTATGATTAAACCTTAAAAAATACTCTCCTTTAATGTGTATTGTACTATGTTCTCCAAAGCATTTGATTTCATGTATTTGTATAAATACATTTCTGACTCCAATTGTGCTCATGGCTTAAAGCTCTATTGCTTGAATCAGCAAACTTTCAGAGTAAATATATCCTATTACTCACAGTGCTTAGGTTGTGCAATGAATTTTATCATTCAAGTATTTCAAACTAAGGTCCAAAAATCCTAGTTCTCATTCAAAAAAATTTGTACTAGCTAGTCATCTCCCAGAACATCATTCTTTCTCTCTCTCTCCCTTGCACTGACAGGTGTTACATCAGAGAGGTCAAGAGTGACGATTCAGGAGCCAGACTGCCTGGACTGAATACCAGTTAGATCTCTAGCTGGTTATATGTCCTTTACCAATTAGTGCTTCGATTTTCTGATAAGTAAAATGACAATGTATGTAAAGTGTTGGTATATATAAAATGTTTAGAAGAGTGACTATTATTTTAATATAATTTAATATACTAAAATCATCACAGGAAGAAATAATTATGTGTATATATTATGTAAATATATATAACATATATTACACATATATTATATATATAGTTGTTGTTCAGTCGCCCAGTCATGTCAGACTCTTTGTAACTCCATGGACTGCAGCACGCTAGGCCTCCATGTCCCTCACCATCTCCCAAAGTTTGCCTAAGTTCATAGCCATTGATCAGTGATGCCACCTAGCCATCTCATCCTCTGATGCCCTCTTCTTCTGCCCTCAACTTTCCCAGCATCAGGGTCTGTTCCAATGAGTCAGCTATTTGGATCAGATTTTCAAAATACTGGAGCTTCAGCTTCAGCATCAGTCCTTCCAGAGAATATTCAGGTTGATTTTCCTTAAGATTGACTGGCTTGATTTCCCTGCTGTCCTGTGGACTTTCAGGAGTCTTCTTCAGCACAACAGTTCGAAGGCATCAATTCTTTGGCGCTCTGCCTTCTTTACGGTCCAGATCTCACAATCATATGTGACCACAATCATATAGAAGACCATAGCCCTGACTAAACAAACCTTTGTCGGCAGAATAATGTCTGTGCTTTTCAACATACTGTCTAGGTTTGTCATAGCTTTCCTGCCACAAAGCAATCGTCTTCTGATTTCATAGCTGTAGCCACTATCTGCAGTGATTTTAGAGCCCAAGAAGAGGAAATCTGTCACTACTTCTACCTTTTCCCCTTCTATTTGCCATGAAGTAATGGGGCCAGGTGCCATGATCTTAATTTTTTTTTAATACTTAGTTTTAAGCATATTACATATGTAAAAAATATACACACACATGCACACACATGCACACACACACACACACAATATGTATATTCTTCAATTTTCTGACCAAAACTTTGCAAGTATCTCTGGTCTTTTGTAATGGTGTGATTTATCTCCAGGTAAATCAATACTATAGGTAGGCTGCTAACTCAGCATTTTCTCTCTTAAGTTACAAATACCTGTTCTGGAAAGATAGACTCTTCCTGACTGGTCCTATCCATCGAACATAGTTTTCTCTACGCTGTGTGCTGTGGTTAGTCGCTCAGTTGTGCCCGGCTTTTTGCGACCCCATGGACTGTAGCCCACCAGGCACCTCTGTCTATGGAGATTCTTCAGGCAGGACAACTGGAGTAGGCTGCCATACCCTCCTCCAGAGGATCTTCCCAACCCAGGGATAGAAACCCAGTTTTCCCATGTTGCAAGCAGATTTTTTATCGTCTGAGCCACCAGGGAAGCCTATTATTTCCCAAAGGGAAGTAAGCAACTCTTTTTCTTCTCACAGCAGGCAGCAGATTTTCTTGTAATCAGTGGATCTTGGGGACCACTATTACTATGTGGGACTTCTCCAGAAGATTTAATTTCTGCCAGTGGGATAAGATTTCTTATTATGTATCTCCATGGCTCTCTTGCCTCTTTGTCTTACATGCTTCTATGTTTGGAGTTATGCAAGCATATTGCAAGCATTATACAAAGTATAGCTGTAATTTTTTCATGCTTGGATCCAGTCTCCTTGAAAAGACCTTTACACTTATTTAGTAATCAGAGGGGCAAGATTTATTTATCCCTTGTTTTCTCCTGTGTGTTGTTGTTCACTCACTAAGTCATGTCTGACTCTTTGTGACCCTGTGGATTGCAGTACACCAGGCTTCCCTGTCCTTCACTATCTCTGAGAGCTTGTTCAAACTTAAGTCCAAGGTGTAGACAATGCCATCTAACCATCTTATCCTCTGTTGTCCCCTTCTCCTCCTACCCTCAATCTTTCCCAGCATAAGGGTCTTTTCCAATGAGGCAGCTCTTTGTATCAGGTAGCCAAAGTATTTGAGCTTCAGCTTCAGCATCAGTTCTTCCAATGAATATCCAGGGTTGTTTCCCTTTAAGATTGACTGGTTTGATCTCCAAGCAGTCCAAGGGATTCCAAAAGTCTTCTTCAGCACCATAGTTCAAAAGCATCAATTCTTCAGCACTTAGCCTTCTTTATGGTCCAACTCTCACATCCATACATGACTACTGGAAAAAACCATAACTTTGACTATACAGACCTTTGTCAGCCAAGTGATGTCTCTGCTTTTTATTAAAAATATACTGTCTAGGTTTTGTCACAGCTTTCCTTCCAAGCAACAGACATCTTTTAACTGCATGGCCACAGACACCATCTGCAGTGATTCTGGAGTTCAAGAAAATATAATCTGTCACTGTTTCCACTTTTTCCCCATCTATTTGCCATGAAGTGGTGGGATAAGATACCTCCTGTGTGTCACACTCTCCTACTCTCTGTTCCCTTGAATGAGGTTTCTTACTCAAATATGAAACTTCAGGGATTCCTATTTTATATTTTTCAGTTATTATATGGAAAAATCTTCACCTCTTTGGTCAGACACTACATATTGAGATATGTTAACATGCTTTTTGGTTGCACACCACAGTTGACCCATCTCTATCTCTAACTAGTGTTTTTAAAGTATTGTATTGGCTCAGATAACTGAGAAGTCGATAAGGGCTTGAGTAAATGGTCAAACAATATGACCAGGACTCAGGATCTCTCTTTTTCTTCCATTTCTTAGGATTGCTTCTTTATAGTTGGCTCCATTATTGGGAGGCATTACTTTCATAGTTCAAGATAGCAATTCTTTTAGAGTTATATATGCCCTCATTCATATTCAATAGAAAACAGAGAGTCTATGTTCCTAGCAGTGTAAATAAAACCTAATAGATGCTCTTGTTAACCTGAATTGTGTTTCTTGAACTAAAACTGTGGCTATACATATGCTGGAGGGTTAGTCAGTCTCACCCAAATCATATGACTGGGGAATGTGGTAAAGTGTTAGGAAGAGGGAACTGCAAATGGATGCTGGAGAGGCAACTAACAAATAACCATTTGGCATTCCTCAAGCTTCTTCGTTTCCTGACAAAAGCAACTTGTCAGTTTGGCAACAGCAAGTATTCAGATCACTAGGAACTAACTACTGAAGAGTTATTCAAATCTTTTTGGTTATTCAAATATTTTTCGTGTAATAACATAATACTCAGAATATGACAACTTGAAAGCTTGATTATGAATACACAGCTTACAAATATTTCAGTTTGAAAACCAGGATAATTATTATAGTTGCTGTGGTTGCTTTATAATATGAGAACACAAAAGACAGTTTGGTATATTTTGGAATGTTTATAATTTATAGTGAAGTTATAGCTGGAGAATTCAGCTGTCGACTGAAATTCTTAATCATTTTATTAACCTATATTTCCTTTTTCTACTTGGCCTTTGACTTGGCTAAGCTTGTTTGTAACCAGACGTGGCTTGTTGAATAGAGGGTTAAAGTCACCATTTGGTAGCTTACCTGCCAAGAGATAACCAATACTAGTTTTCCTCCTTGCATCCCCCTGAAATTCTGGATATTTTTTCTTCTAAGGATTATAAACAAGATTACACTTTATTACTTTTCTTATTTTATGTTCATATCAGGGACTGAGTTTTTCTTTTTTGGCAGCCATGGTCTAAATTGTCACTGCTTATTCGGTTATACTTACCAGTTTAATCTTTTCTAGTCTGACACAAAGTACCATTTTCACAAAGTACCATTCACAGCTAATGACTGAAAGAAGTGATGGAAAAAAAGTGAAAGTATTAGTCTGACTCATTGTGACCCCATGGCCTGTAGCCTGCCAGGTTCCTCTGTCCATGGAATTCTTTGGGCAAAAATGCTGGAGTGGGTAGCGATTCCCTTCTCCAGGGGATCTTTCCGACCCAGAGACCTCTTGCATTGCAGGCGGAATCTTTCTTGTATGAGCTACCAGGAAAGCTGGAAAGAAGTGATACATACCCTTAAAAGTACAAAGCCTCAACTGTCTAAATGGTTGTAATGCAAACACAGTTATAGAAAAGAAAGATGCAAAATCATAAGAAAAAAAAAGCAAGATTGATATAAATTAAATATTATTTTGACCAATCTGTTTAGATTTTTAAAACTTAATGTGATCTTCTTACAGGAGTATCTTAATTAAGGCAGGCAATATATTTAAAAGTATGTGATGAAATTACTAAAGAAAAAAACTTCTGAGTCATGAATTTCTTGGAAATCATGTGATGAAAGTTCACTGCCACATACTATAAAATCTTAATGATGTTAGAGTACTTCAGGTACAGGAGAAACTATTAAATTCCTTGATGGAAGATACTCAGTGGCACTTATATTTTCAACAAAAAAGCACCAGTGAAGGTCCTTCAGAATAAAACACATCTGTAATAAGTTACAACCTACCTCCAAGGACAGGAGATAGGCTGTATGCTTGCAAAATCATTAATGCAAAAGCCTCTTGTCTTACCGGTTCCTCTGCACTGCCTGTTGCATCATGGGAATAACTGATGAGACCAGGGATGGGCTGCTCACCGTGTGCCATGATAACAGCAGGACTGGTGTAGAATGGATGCTTCTAATGCACAACACATAACAACGATGAATACAATGACAGGAAAACATGAAACTATACAAGCAAAATGACTGGAAAGGAAAAAAGTTGAAAACAAATGGAACACTGAGATGCCCAAAATTCACAAATGTATAATGACAAAAATCAGCTTAGAATTCAGATGGTATACGCTTTTTTTAAGGTTGAAACTGATGTACTTTTAACTCTTTTAATTAAGAGTAAAAGAAAGAGAACATATGATGATTTAATAATGTACCTATTTCATCAATCAGTTCCATAAAAACAAAACAAAATGAAATAAAACAAACCTCACACATAACTTAAATACTTACTACCCTAAGTAAGGACTTAATGGATCACTGAATGGATCTGGAGATGGAATGATCCAGTTTTCAGTGAAGGAACCATCTACTAGTTGGCTGAATGGACACTTCAAAAGGAGCTCTATGATTCTTTTCAATATACATGGGGTCAAAAAATCCTCTCATGCTAAGCTCGTAGCTAAAATTTCTGGACGAGCCATAAAACTTTAGGAATTACTTCATATATGATTAGATTACCAATCTTTACATTCTCGATCAATGAACAAGCATTACTTCCAGAAGGGATATGCTACTGTCTAAAGATTTTAAAGTATCCAAGGTGGGTTATATGACATATGGTTAAAAATGTAAATCATGTTCTGTGACTCTGAGATGACAATGAAATTTACAGCAGTAATGTATGGTACTATTTACTGTACTAAGTACTGTATGGTACTATTTACTCTCAGAATTGCTCGAAGAGAACTTGCAATATTTTGATATTGCTTTAATAATATTTATTGCTTTATTAAATTAAAAATACAAATACCTTACATCCCTTTCTTCTCCATATGACTGGTGTAAATTGTGTGCAACAGTTAAATAAATGGTAGTTAATTGATGAACAGTCTTGTCTTTAAAAAAAAATTTATTAATCTTTCTCAACGAATTCCTTGAACCATCTTAGGTCTCCTATTCTCTTTTGATGCTCCTTTAAGAATTTGTGAATATTTGATGTTCTGAATACATAAACATTATATATTTAATATGATCACAAAACTGACATCTTCAGAGTTCTTAAATGTCACGTTATTATGGGAGTTACTACTTCAATAGGTAACAGCAGAATCTTTAATGCCTCAGAACTAAAACAAAACTTAAATGTTTCAAGAACTCAACATAATGGAGGGAATACAGCTGTAGAGTGTCATGAATATCCCAGTTCTTTTTAAAGGATGCCACAAAGTTGTATTTAACTTATGGAAGAATGGGATGGAAAGAGATATGAAATCAATACATTTACCTGTGGGTTCTTTAGATCTCTGGGTCTCTCCCAACAGGCTTACCTTGGCCGCAATGGCTGCTGCAGTTATATGTGATGAAGAACTATCTTCTGTTGAAGCAACACCACTATCTTTCTTCTCTTCTTCCTCTTCCTCACATTGAACCCCTTTGTCTTCTGTCTGTTTATGGGGGCTAGTTGTGGGAGGAGGGGAAAGAGGTGGTGGCGGGGAAGGTAAATCTTCAAGTTCATCATGAACTTCCTTTACTTTTACAATGGCATCACGTAAAAGGTCAATGGCATGAGGTAGGGCTGGTAGTATGAACTGAAAGCATTCCTGTATGCAAGAGGAAGGAAAAAAACGAAGATAAAGTATTTTTATAGGCATGCAAAATGGGAGCAATCAAATTTATTTGTGATTTTGGATTTACTTGTGATTTTCTCTCCATCTGTCTTAAGAATGAATTATATTTAATGTATTGTCTTTGCAATGCAAAATATGAAGTAAGCTGGTATATATTACAGTACTCTCCATAAGCTGAAGAACTCTAGTATATAAGCACACAGCAAATTTTTTTTTTTTAAGTAAGATTTCTATACAACTTTGGGATTTAAAGATAGATTATGAGAGAGCAGGTAACAGTTTTTACCTTTCTGGTAAGAGAAGGATACTAGAACTAACAAACCAACTGAATAGTGAACTATTTTATTCAGAGAGCTTAGGTTCTGATTACAATTGTAAAGTACAGATAGATAAAATTGTACAATATGTAAAAGTAGATATAAGTTTGTGCAGCGTAAACGTCAAAACAGTCTCTTTTTTTGGAAGGGCATGAAGGAAAGTACAGCATTTATTGTAGGGTGCTAATAAGTAAGGAGAAAGGCAGCTAATGCCCAAAATATGTCCATTATCACCTATAAAGTATCACCAAAAGAAAACAGGTGAGAACTTTAAAATCAGAAAGTAAGGCCAGATAAATCTGAGGAATATATTTGAGCAGAAGACTTTGTCTTTCACATGTGAAGCAACTTACCTTAAAATCTAATATGTAAAGAAATATCTGTTACTGGAATACCTGGAAGGTAACTAACCTTTTACCTCCTGGAAAACATTGTATAGTAAGGAATTTAACTCTAATCAAAGAGAGGTCTGGCCTTTATTCTCTGCTTTTGGGAGGTGATCTCTAGTTCCTTATTATATCATGCCTGATAAGAGTGTCTCTGCCTGGGGGCTTTAGCCACTGAACAGTCTAACAACATGGTTTATTATGAGGGCTTTGGGAAACATGGTATCAGTTTTACCTCTGTAAAGAACTGGGAATGGCTGACTAAAGGTCAGCCACATGGGCAATATGTGCTCAAGTTCCAATAAAAACTCTTAACACCAAAGGTAAAGGAGAGTTAGCATAGGTAAAGGAGACTGTGCATAGTTAACAATGTTCTATGTGTGTTGTCTTATACTGCGCTTCCCCAGTGGCTCAGCAGTAAAGAATCCTCCTGCAATGCAGGAGAAACAGGTTTGATTCTTGTGTCAGAAAGATCTCCTGGAGGAGGAAATGACAACCCATTCCAGTATTCTTGCCTGGGAAATTCCAGGGACAGAGGAGCCTGGTGGGCTACAGTCCATGGGGTCACAAAGAGTCAGACATAACTTAACGACTAAACAGCAACAGCAATTGTCTTATGTTAACAGGAGGTGATGCTATCTATGACTCCATTAAAGAGAATGACCACAAGTTCCCCAACTATTACCTCACTTAGACTCTGCCATATATACTCCTTTCCTTGGCTGATTTCATCCTGTATTCTTTCCCTGTGATGCAACAGACTCATGAGTATGACAGCTTTCAGTGAGTTCTGTGAGTCCTTCTAGTGAATTATTAAAAGTAAGGGTGATTTTAGAAATCCTCTCAATTGAAATTGATGACAGAAGTGGTTAGTCTTGTGGAGTGCTCCACAAGAAGTTAGCCGGCTAACTTCTGCAGCTGGTCAAAACTCTTTACAGTTGGTATTAAGAAGTGAGATTTGCCAGAAACAGCCTGATTCACTGAAACTTGTGACCTGGGAAGAGGAAGGAAGAGAATGTGGGGGATAACAAATCTTTAGAGTCGCAAAGAATACAGGGTCACCCAAAGAATGGAGTTGCAGCTGTACTGCAATTAGTCATTGGAAACAAAATTAGTGGTTAAATTTGGAAATGGAAGATCTAACTCCTAAGGAGTTACACCAATACACAAACAATAAATGGTATCTGTACTAGCTAAAACAAAAGTAATGGAGAATGTTGAGGCAGAGCCTGAGGCTGGGTCAAGCTTGGCTTCTGGGTGGTCTGACACGTAGCTGCTACCCTAGAGCTGCTTCCCATGGAAAAATTTATGTTGAAGCAATAAATAGTAAATAAAGTTGGACTGATTCATAAGAAAATGGGGAAAGAGAAACAAGACATTCAAGGGACTTGTCCTAGCAGGGTGGAAATATTTACATGGTTATTAAGAAATGTATGAATGAAGTGAGTATTGATGGGATCAAAACAGATGTCTTAAAGAAGCAGTGTTGTGTTGAGTGGACAGATGGGAGATCTGCTGATCTCCTAACATTAAGGGATCCTAAGCAAATTTCTATTTACACTTGTTTGGTGGAATTTAGAAAGATAGAAGGCAAAGAAACCTTACCTTGAATCACCTTAAGTGATGGCCCCATAATCTAATCAATATGAGGTATGACAAAAGGGTCTGCATTCCTTGGCCCAACCCAGGCCTTAGAATTCCAAGGCCACATGCATACAAATGGCTAAACTCCTTCAGAGACAGATAAGAGACTTTTCTGGGACTCCTTGACCTGGGGGCTCCACGTACTGTGATTCTAAAACCTGTTGAAATACTAATGGGAGGTGGGAGGAGTATAGTTAGAATAGGAGGCTATGGGAATGCAGCAGTTGATGGGATTAAGGTAAACATTTAGATAAGAATTAGAATGTTTGGACAGTGAACTTTATGTGAATGGTGAATTTCTACCTGAATGTATTATGAGGATGCAGGTTGTGTCTGGAGAATTCATCCCCTATCTCACACTGTAAAACAGGAGGCATGTAAATCCAGTCTTCTACTTGGACATGCTAAATGGAACCACACAGATTATTAATTTGCTGTACAAAAGCCTTGTGTGGCATGCAGACTAGGGCTTATAGCAAAAACCTGTGAGTGCCACTCAACAACTGTTGGAATTTTGGACCAAAAAATTTCCATTTGAGAGACAATTACTACTTGCTATTGGACTGTAACTGAGACTGTCCTTATGACTAAAGATCACACAATAACTCTGAAACCTGAAATATCTATAATGCCTTGGTAATTTCAGAGAAAAGCTCTAATGAGGAAGGAAGGCAATGCCCAGGAGAGTTCCATAATAAAATGGAAATGTTGCATATAGAATCATGCTACCAGGAGAATGCAAGGAGGTACTCACGAGCAGGCATCCTCTTTTCACCTAGGGCTGACTTCGGAACCACCTGAGGAGCTGCTGGATCCTATGGCCACTTGGGCTACTTGGGCGGTGCCCTATAAACAGCTTTCTATTGATCAACAAAGAGCTGCTTGGTTTATGGATGGCAATTCCAAGGTGAAGGGACAGCATCCTGTTTGGAAGGCCGCCACTCTGAAGAAGGTAAAAACAAATCAGCTCCATGGGCTGAACTGCTTGTTTGCCCCTATGTCTGGGTTTTTACTGACTCATGGGAAGTGTTCAAATGGCCTAGTCACATGGTTAGGCAGATGGGCAATGGAAAACTGGTCTATTAAAGGTTTACCTGTATGGGGTATGGCTCTATGGAAATAACTCTGGGAATGTAATGGGTATATTAAAGCAGACTGTTAATGCCCATCAGAAGAACTCCCTTTCAGAATTGGAAGTTGACTAGTACTGAAGAGCAGATATCCTGGTATACTTGTTTGACATGGCCACCTGGGCCCATGAGATGAGTGGACACTAGGGGCCTATAGAGGGCAGAAACGGGCTGAATCTAGATATATTCCTCTTACACTATGAGGCACAAATGCCAAAAAGAACTGTTTTGTCTGCTATAAAGAGAGACAGAGATGGCAGAGGGCTATGCAGCGAATTCCCCAAGGGAAAAGTCCTACGCATACCTGGCAAGTTGGGCTGATGTTATTAGTCCAACTAACTACAAATGGGTACAAGGCTACAAATGAGGTCTACTAGGTTTAGACACTTAATATGGATGAGCTTTGTTTATTCCAGAGTAGATAAACATGCTCAATGGATTATAAAAGGACCAGAACAGAAGATACTGTGTCAGTGACCATGGAGGCACACATCTTTAGACCAAGGAACACACTTTCATCTTCAGAGCAATAATATGATAGAAAACTGAAACGGGCAGTTGAAACACTTGTTGTCTAAAATGGGAGGAGATAAATGCATGAAGCCTTCATTAGTGTATGATCATATTCAACATCAGAGAAGCTAAGTGAGTGTTCTCTCCAGACAGATTTGTCTGCTTTTCTGGTGAGAGGGGATGGAAAAGCATGTTTGTACAACTACACTTTTCTCTTTACAATTATCCTTTTTCTTTTTCCCCCACATCACCTGAACGCTCTTCTTTTCTATGTGATGCACAGTGGTCTGAGGACCAGGGCTATAACTGTGGGTGCCAGAGGCAGGGATGATTCTTAGGCTGAAACTGTAACTATACTTATAAACCTTTATGTCAGAATTCCTAAGGGTCTGATGGTGCAGACTATGTCTTACTCCATCTGGCCAAATTGGGCTTAAGAGTAAATGCAATTATATTGCCTGATGTTTCAGACTGCCCACTAACTCTGTACCTATGTAACCTTATCTTATACAAATGGAAAGGATTGAGAGGGAAGTACTTGTTGAACTAGTATTACTGATGGCCATCTGGACCAGCCCAGTGGCTAAATCAAGTCTCATTCAAGATGTTCAAAGGAAATGCTTGAATATAAATGGAAAGAAGGAGAAATGGTAGTTGAAGGTAAAGGAATGAGTTTAAAGGGGTTATGCAGCAGGGAAATCCAGTATTACTTTGTTGCCTCAAAAGTAGCTTAAAACAAGGGATGATACTGTTTCTTGGCTCAGCTGTAGCAGATGCTAGAAAGGGAAGAGGCATAGGTTGCTTTTGGAACCTGACAAGTCTGTAAACCTGAGGACCATCCCTCTGGGATACATCTTGATCATATGATATGAAGACGACTAAGTTAACTGTTAATGTGTGTATAGGATTCCAGTAATGTTTCAGTATCTTTTGACTCTTATTTTTCAGGTTATATTTACTACTATACTATGATATAATACAAGCATTGTTAGTAAGATTATACTGCTGATATTGATGGCCACATGTACTGGGGATTTGAGTTAAAGCCTTCTCAATATGTAACACCAATGGGAAATCACTGGCCTGAACAAGAGAGCTAATTTCTATGGTAAACAGTTCTGTGCGAATGTATCGTAGGGTACAGTAACAGAAGATCAAGGTAGAAAATTAGGAAATGAGTACAAAAATATGAAAATTTGTATAATGGCTTTAGAGGATGAATTACTCGTTTCTCTAAATTTAGTCCTATCTCTCTCTGGCTCCTCCAAATTTTAGGCATATTCACACTACTACTGTTGTTGTGTCTATAATATAAATGCTATAGTAAATATAGATGCTCAGCCAGACAAATATTATTGTTTCGTTGTAAGAAAGCCTTGGTCAGAGGCCAGGGGGTAGCTTGTATAATGAAAATTTAACTTTACCCAAAGAGAATCTGGCCTATGCCCTTAGTTACTGGGAAATGAAAGGAGTGTCTTTTTTCTGTGTGGAAACTTTTGCTACCAGGCAGTCTAACAGTGTGATTTATTATGGAGACTTTGGGAAATGTGATTTTTGGCTCTGGTAAGTGTTGGAGACTACAAGTATTAGCGCAGCCTCTGGGAAATGCAAGAGACTAAAGGTCAGCCATATGGGCAATATATGATGTACCTCAATAAAAATTATGGATGCTAAGGACTTAGAGCTTCCCTGATAAGCAATAAACCTTGTGTCATTACATACTGATGCCCAAAGAGTAATGTGTTCATGACTCCACAGGGAGAAGAGATTAGAAGCTCTTCTCCATTTGGTACTTCTTTATTCTGTCTTATGCACCTCCTTCCCCAGTTGATTTTAATCTGTATCCTTTCCATATAATAAACCATAACTATGAGTATACCACCTTTCAATGAGTTCTCTGAATCTATTGAGTGAATTATTGAAACAGAGGGTATTCTGGGAATGCACTGAACTGCAACTGGTGTCCGAAGTGAGGTCTTATGGAGGGCTCCAACTTCCTGTATGGCTAACTCACAGCTGGCCAAAATTTCTCAAACTAAACCATATATATCTGAAGACTACTTACCTGAGATCCTTTCTTGCTACCTGGCAAGTTAATTATGAGAGTTTTCCCTCTGATTCCACATACAGGCCTGGAAGGAAAAAGAAACTAGATGAATACTAACTTAGCATGATGGTTGGTTTAAATACATTCAACAAAGACCAATCATTGTTTTTATATGTGAACAACTTTTTGAGGAATAAAACTGTTACAGCTAAATATTTACCAATTATTATACAAATTGGGCACTCTCTCTGGCTGAGGTTTATATAACAATGGTTAGTGTGGTGGATTAGAAAAATGTACTGAACATGAAATCAGAATAAATTAGCCACTTTAAAGAAATAATGGCCAAATTATCTTCTTTTTCTAACTTCAGCTTTTTCATATCTCTTACAGTTCTAAGAATTCAATGAGATAGCATACTAAAAATGACTACTATAGTAATGTCTATGTTCAAAAGTCTAACACGTAAGGCACTCTGGCCTTGAGTGAGATGTTTAAACTCTTGTTTCTCAGGAAACAAGAAACTCTTGTTTTCTATAAGAAACAAGAAACTCTTGTTTCTCTATAAGTTTTGAAGTAAGAATAGACTTTTGGGCTCAGTGGGAGAAGAAGAGGGTTGGATGATTTGAGAGAACAGCATTGAAACATATGCATTACCATACGTAAAACAGATAACCAGTCCAAGTCTGATGTATGATACAGGGCACCCAAAGCTGGCACTCTGTGTCAACCTGGAGGGATAAGGTGGGGAGGGAGGGAGCACAGGAGATCAGGGTGGAGAGGACACATATAGACCTATGGCTGATTCATACTGATGCATGTCAAAAACTATCACAATATTGTAAAGTAATTATCCTTCAATTAAAATAAGTAAATAAATTAAAAAAAAGTGAGACAGGTCTCTCATAGATCAATAGCACTGGGGAGAATTTAGAGAGCTCAGCTATTGACTGATAAATTGATAAACAAGAGTCAATTTAAAGTATAAAGGTCTTTCAGAGTTCACTGTAAATTTTCAGGTCACTTTAAAACCAAGTGGTTAGATAAGAAACATAAGCAGTTGAAAAGTATGAAAGCTGGAATAAAGAGTTGAAGGCCTAGATTTCAAATGAGAGTTCGAATCATGCTCTTCCAATAACTGGCTATCTGACTCTGACCTGGTAACATATAATTTCCATTATTTGAAAACAAAAGGACTAGATTCAATTAGTCTATTTCTAAAATTTTATAGTTCAGATTGTAAGTCACATAAGAATGTTTTTCTACAACTTTTAATTGAGTTTCTTATTTAACTTTTTGAAATAACCTAAAATTGTCTTGTATTTTGTTTTTCTTATCTTAGAAAGTGCTCATAGCTATTTAAAACTGTCCATACAGCTTTCCTTTTAATTGAGATATAATTGACAAATAACACTATATTAATTTTAGGTGTACAACATGATGATTTGATATATGTATATATTACAGAATGATTACTACAATAGATTTAGCTAATATCTATCACCACACATTGTACAATTTTTCTCTTGTGATGAGAAATTTTACAATCTATTGTCAGAAAGTTTCAACCAAACAATATTATTAACTATAATCAACATGCTGTATATTATATGCCCAGGATTTATAAATGGAAGTTCATGCCTTTTGACTCCTTTCACGCATTTAACCCACTCACCAACCCATGCCTCTGGCAACTGCCAATCTGTTTCTCTGTATCTGGTGGTTTAGTGGCTAAGTCGTGTCCAACTCTTGTGACCCCATGGACAAAGGAGCCTGGCAGGTTACAGTCCATGGGCTTCTCCAGGCAAGAATACTAGAGTGGACTGCCATTTCCTTCTCCAGGGGATCTTCCTGATCCAGGGATAGAACCATGGTCCTGCATTGCAGGCAGATTCTTTACTGACTGAGCTATGAGGGAAGCCCAATCAACTCTCTGTATCTATGAGTTGATTATTATTAGAGTACATATACAAGTGAAATCATACAGTCTTTGTTTTTGTCTGACCTATTTCACTTAGCACAACAGACTCAAGGTCCATTCAAATTGTTACAAGTAGCAAGATTTCATTTTTTATGACTCATGTCCTATAGCATATATGTACCTCATTTTCTTTATCCATTCATCCATCAATGGACACAGGTTGTTTCCGGGTCCTGGCAATAATGTTGCAGTAAAGGTGGAAATGCAGATATCTTTTCGAGATAGTGATTCTGTTTCCTTTGGATAAATATCCAAAAGGTGAATTGCTGGATCAAACGATAGTTCTATTTTTAATGTTTTTAGGAACTTCCATACTGTTTTCCACAGTGGCTGCACATAATTACACTGCCACCAACAGTGTATGAGGGTTCCCTTTTTTGCACATCCTCTCAAACACTTGTTATTTGTTGTTTTTAATAACACTCATTCTAATGGGTGTGGAGTGAGTTGCATTTCCCTAATTAGTGATGTGGAAAATCTTCTGATGTGTCTGTTGGCTAGTTGTATGCCTGCTTTGGAAGAGTGTCCGTTCAGAACCTCTGCCCATTTTTAATTTTTTAAAAAAATTGTTCTTTATAAATTTTGAGTATCAAGCACTTATACACATATGATGTGCAAGTATCCTCTGCCATTTGGTAGGCTGTATTTTCATTTTGCTGATGGCTTCTTTTGCTGTGCAGAGCTTTTTAGTTTGATGTAGTCCCATGTGGTTAATTTTAATTTTGCTTCCTTTTCTTGAGAATACATATCCAGAAAGATATTGCTAAAACTAATGTCAAAAGCATAATGCCCATGATTTTTTTCTGGAGTTTTAAGGTTTCAGGTCTTTAATCCATTTTTATTAATTTATATATACAATCTAAGACAGGGCCTAGTTTCATTCTTTTGCATGTGCTATCCGGTTTTCCCAATACTTTCTCCACTTTAGGTTCTTGGCTCCTTTGTTGTAAATTAATTGTCCATTTATCTATGGGTTTACTTCTGGGCTGTCAAATTCTAGGCTTTTGTTCCAATATTATGCTGTTTTGATTGTTACAGATTTGCAGTATAATTTGAAATCAGGGAGTGTCATATCTTCAGTTTGATCATTTTTCTCAAGATTGCTTTTCTATCCAAGGGTCTTCTGCTATTTTTTACAAATTATAGGATTTTTTTTGTTCTATTTAAATGAAAATTATCATTGTATTTTGATGGGGATTCCACTGAATCTACAGGTTGCTTTAGGTAATGCGTACATTTTAACAATGCTAATTCTTGCAACTCATGAACATGGACTATCTTTCCATTTCTTTGTGTCTTATTCAGTTTCTTTCAACATGTCTTGTAGTTTTTACTTCCTTGGATTAAAATCTTCCTAGGTATTTTAATTTTTGTTGCAACTGTAAAATGAATTGTTTTCTTAATTTCTCATTATGCTAGTTCATTCTTAGCATACAGAAATGCAACAGATTTTTGTATGTTTATTTTTATCCTGCAAGTTTATTTCATTCATTTATTATTTTTAATAGTTTTTCTATGGAATCTTAAGGGTTTTCTATATATAAAATCATGTCATCCACAAATACCGACAGTTTTACTTCTTCCTTTCCAATTTGGACTTTTATTTCTTCTCTTACTTAATTGCTCTAGCTAGAATTTAACCATCATGTTGAGTAAGATTGGCAAGAATGGTATCCTTTTCTTGGTCCCAGTCTGAGAGGAAAATCTTTCAGTTTTTCACTACTGAGTATGTTAGCTGTGGGTCTGTCATATATGGCCTTTACCATATTGATGTATGCTCCTTCCAGCTCATTTTATTTTATTTTACTTTAATGATAAATAGGTGCTGACTCTTGTCAATGAGTTTTTCTTGCATCTATTGATAAAATAATCATGATTTTTACCCTTCATTTTTGTTAAAGTGTTGTATTATGCTGATTGATTTGTGGATATTAAACTGTTCTTATATCCCTGGAGTAAATCCTGTTTGACCATGGTGTATGATCCTTTTAACATATTGTTGTATTCATTTGCTAATGTTTCGTCTAGATGTTTTGCATCTAAGTTCATCAGACATACCGGCCTGTGATTTTCTTTGTGCTGTCCTTGTCTGATTTTGGTACTAGAGTAGTGCTGGCTTATAAAGAGAGCTATGGAGCGCTCCCGTTTCTTCTAGTGTTGGAAGACTTTGAGGAGAACTGGTACCAATTCTTCAAACGTTTGGTAGAATTCACCAGCTAAGCTGTTTTGTACTGGATGCTGTTTCTTGGGAGGTTTCTGAGTACTTTTCCTTCTCCCTACTAGTGAGTGATCTATTCATTTGCATGATTCAGTCTTGGAAAAATGTATGATTCTAAGAATTGATCCATTTCTTATAGGTTGCCCAATTTTTTGATCTGTAACTGTTCAGTCTTCTCTTACAATCCTTTATATATCTGTGATATTGTTTGCCATTTCTCCTTGTTTCTGATTTTATAAGTCAGTCTAGCTAAGGCTTTGCCAATTTCGTTTTCTCTTCCAAGAACTACTACTTAGTTTCATTAACTTTTTCTATCGCCTTGTTAGTCTCTACTTCATTTATTTCTGCTCTGACTTTTATTTTCTCCCTTATATTGATGTTAGACTTTCTCCCCCCAACCCACCCAGTTCCTTTAGGTATAAGGTTAGACTTTTGATTTGAGATATTTCTTATTTCTTGAGGGAGAGCTTATTGCTATAAACCTCCTTCTAAGTGTGGCTTTTGCTATATCCCATAGATTTTTATATGTTGTATTTTCATTTTTATTTGTGGTCAGGTATTTTTTGATTTCTGCTTTTGATTTTCTTCATCAACTCACAGCTGTTCAATAGCATGTCATTTAGTCTCCAGGTATTTGTGATTTTTCCAGTTTTCTTCTTGTATCAATAGTTGATCATGGCAAGGTGAAAAATATGCCTAATATGATTTCAATATTTAAGTTTATTGAGACTTGCTTTGTGTTTCAACATAAGGTATATTCTTAATAATGGTCCATATGCCTTAAAGAAGAATATCAATTTTTATTTATTCCTTTATGATTTGGGTAACTTATTTCTTTTCCTTGTCTAAGTGCTCTGGCTGGGACTTCCAATACTATGTTGGATAA